TTCTTCTTGGAAAGGATGAACATTAGGTTACTGTTGTGAGTACTATGGGACAACCCTCATTATTTTTTAGAAGGAAGGGCAGGGATATCTCTAGAAGCCTTCACAGCCACCAATCTGACCTCCTTGTTCCTAGAACAGCCAGCCCCATTTTAGAATAAATGAAATTACTTACTGACATTTGCACACGCATGCTGTCCCACTGATTATGAGCAGTAGATAAAATACCCTTAAAGAGGAAGCAATGATTACAAAAAGGGGATATTACTGTCATCTATTAATCACCTAAATTCCTTACTGCTATTTGGCAACTTACATATAATATAAAACCCAAAACATTTGACTTCAGGAAGTTCAGTGATTCATTACCAAATGTATTCAATCTTTAACTACCCTGCATCACCAGTCAACATCATTCTTTCAAGAGAAGGTCATTCCTGAGCACTATCCTTGGTTGGGTAGAAACATGTTCAACTCACTATTTTGTGCTCTGCTCTGTAGCACAAACCACACCCTTATTCAAATTCCAGTAGCCCAGTACATTAGGGAGTTCTTTGGATTTACCTTTTTGCATTCCTCAATTAAGACTAACATTTTTGACATATCATAACCACAGTATAAAACTGAGAAGCACAAAGTATGAACTCAAGCCCCTTGGGACTCTACTGGCAACTATGACCTTTTTTTTCTTTTAAAGAGTCAACCGTCACATCCAAGTTCATCTCTGCTGGAAGCCTTTTTAGGTTCTGAAATATCACTGACATAAATGGAATTGCCACTCATTATCCACATGGCAATAAGTAACAGAATACAACCTGTATTCTGTACCATATGGCAATGTCCAGACTGGAGAAGCATGAGAAGTAGAGCATTGTTTAGAGATCACATAGGACATTTCTGGGAACAATTTTCTTTCAAGTAAGTGCATAGGCACCAATGCTCTTGTTTAATTATTCTGTGCCTGGGTTCACTTCTGTCTCTTCCAGTGGTCTATTGCCCTTTACCATGGAGGGAGGGAAGGCACAAAGAAAAATGAGAAAACTTCCCTGAACTCCCCACATCTTCTGATCTCCTCCATCCTCAGTGGAAGGTGAAGTCAAAACTCAGTGCTTCCTGTTAATGGAGACTCCATGTGTGCATACATGTGATAGCAGTTCTTCCTTGTACAAATGTGTCTGATTATACTACTTCAGAGTGTCTTTGCCTTTCCAGGCACATTGCTCTCACTTGTGCAAATTAAGAACAAGGTGCCCGGAAAGGTAATGAGAAGGCACAGCAAAGCAGCTATCCCTGGCTTTCAGTACTGAGGTGCTTGCACAAACTCCTTTCCCCCAAGTTCTACCTCATTCTTCCCTCTCCCCACGTCTCTAACTTGCCCTTAAAAAACAAAAGGAGATCCAGTGGCACCCTCTCTCTACTTTTCCTATTTTCATGGCATCAGCCCTTCCCTTGGCGCCCTGCATACCCTCTTATCCTTGTACAAAATATGCAGAACTACTGATCATACAGTTCTTCTCAAACTATTCACTTGGGAAGCTAATGAGAGCAAGTGTGGTGCAGTGGATAGGAGTATGGGTCTGGGACTTAGGAGATCTGGGTTCTCTACCCTACTCAGCCATGGAGTTGGGTGACTTTGGGCCAGTCACAGACTCTCAACCCTATCTACCTCACAGGGTTGCTGTTGTGGGGATAAAATTGAGAGCAGGAGGATTAGAATGATGTAAGCCACTTGTGTTTTTTAAAACAGGAAAGGGTAAGCTATAAATCTAAGACATAAATAAATATATGATACAGACTAAAGCTTATACAGTCTCAATTTTTCTCCAAGGATTACTCACTTCAATTAAAACATCCAGGGAGTTAAATGCATAAGGATAGTCTTTGGCATGAAGTTGCAGACCCATAATTAATACACAAATTCATTACTTTCCATACCAGAGGGATACATCTGACACATAAATGAGCTCAGGTGAGACTACTGTTTGTATGCTCCAAGGAGACACATATTAAGAGTGCAGCCTGATGCTCTGAACAAGCCATAGCAGCATAAACAATGCAAAATCACAACAGCAAACTACAGAAATGACAACCTCAACAGTCCTGGCATTTTGTTCTCTACCCCAACCTCAAGCCTACTGTAAAGCAAGCAAATGTAGCAACCAGCGGGACAGAAGGGTAAGAGGACAGAATGCAGCAGGTTCCTCCTGATTGGGAGTTGGGTCACTTGGGCAGCAGCAAGCCATTTCTGATGTGGATCTCTTGGCTGGACTTTGATTACTATTAGCTGTAACACATACACGTGTGTGTGTGCACACGCAAACAGAACCAGCAGGGAAAGAAGTTAGGAGTCCAGAATTCAGCGGCAAGGAAAGAAATACTATTTGCAGTTGTAGGACCTTTACTTTGCTGGCATGGCTGTTCATAACAAACAAGATGCTGCCTGACAACTGATATTCCTGGAAGTCTGCCAGAGAGAGAGAGAGAGAGAGAGAGAGAGAGAGAGAGAGAGAGAGAGACCGACCGAGACCGCACTACATTCATTTTAACCTGGAAATAGATAGCACCAAATAGTTAATCGCTAACTATTAAAAGATTATTAACCATGACTTCCTGTGAAGCTTTTGCTGAGTTGGAATTTTCTGCCTCCAATTCCTACCAGCTATTCAGTGATGGGAGGCCATCAGAGGATTTTTGTCAGCAAGCCAGACTGTGGAAGTCTGTGGCTGAGAAATGGCCCACAGGTCAAGCTGCCAACAACTTTTGCTTTTTTGCAATCAAGAAGGGTAAAAATATTCCCATATTCCCTCCAAGTAGTTGTTCCCATTTAGCAACATATAGAAAAAAAAACCTTAAGCTAAATTCATAGATTTCAGAAGCCATACATTTGCAGTAGGACTGAAATTAAGAGAGCTATTCAGAAAGTACTCTCTCCACAGGAATCAAAGTTAACAAAATTATATTTTCCAACTAAAAGCATCAGAAAATGCATTTCATGGTGAACATTTAAGACAGTAAAGGGTAAAGTAGTAGTTGGAAAGAGCTGAACTCAAGATACAGAATTGTAATTCATTTGACAGAACACCTTTTATCCATTTATAGAATATGGCACAGTTGTTAACAGTAGCCAAAGCAATAACCACACGTTTGTTCTCCAGTATAGCAGTTCCTGAGCAACTTGTTGCCAACATGCAGTACCTTAAGTTATTTTGTGCTAACGTGACCATATAAAACAAGAGATTCCTTTAAAATGTAAGCCATTTTGTGAGCCGTCCCGAGGCTATGTAGCAAGGAGACAGCATAAAATGTATATGTAGCTCCAATTTCGAGTGTTGGTACACAAAAGCTGGGGTATGTGATTGATCCAATCTAAGCTGCAGTGCTGAAGCAGCAGCTACCTTGAAAAAAGGCTCTGAGATTTTGCCATTTAATGCACACAATTTCTCTTTTTATTGATTATAGCCGAAGGTAATAACCTCATCAGGTCTGGTTTTGCTTCTGGTGAGGTTTTCTGAAATATTCATTACAAGTTGATGGCAAAATTTTACCTGCAACACTCACCTGAAAAGGATTCACAGTGGAGCTCAAAATTATGATTTCTGCTTAGAGGGCATTCATTATTTAGACACTTTGTTTGCCACAAAAAGCAGCAGCAGCAAGAACAAAAATGCAGCTGACCAGAAATAGATGGGAAGTCAAGACAGAAGGCAGAGATAGGAACCAATTATGTTGACTTTTTAAAGCTTCGTTTTGAATTGTGCCCAGTTAATTATCCATCTCTCATCTCCTCCTTATTAGTAAGGAGTTTGAGATATGGGTTTTAGGAAGCCCAACTGTTATACATACATACACACACTCCTAAACTGACACAGTAACCTATACACAACGTTCCAAGCTGTTTGAAAAGCAAGAAAATGGCAAAAGAGGTGTTGAGGTTGGCGCAAGATTCATGCCCCAGATAAGTGACTGTAAAAACACAAGTTCTACCTCTTAGTCTGAAGCATGAGATATCTCTGCCTGCTTCTCAGTGTTGAGAGAACTTGCAAAATAAGCTATACAAAGCACTTTGCATGAAAAAGATACTTTATGAAAAAGCATTATTAAAAAGAAATAGCACCATCTTTCATTTTATGTCAGTAACTATGTTTTCAAAGCAAGAACCATAGGTAAAATGACTAGTGAAAAGTGCTGGGTGACTGCATTTGCTGTACTTAACTGACTACATCCACTCACTTTAAATGCATGCGTGTACTATCATTATTCTATTGTTTAACTCCACTGGAGGTCACTTCAAATGAAGCTCACCTACAGAGGATTTAATTTTGTGATGTCCAAACTCACTGTAACTATGGACTAGAGATAGGTTATGAAAGAAATATTCAGCAAAAGGGACAAGAGCTAACTGCTGTGCTCCAGATCTGTATATAGGCAGTCCCAGAGTTAAACCTCCAAATTATGAACAACCCAGAGTTATGAACAAACTTCCATTAAGCATATTAATTTTAAAAAATTAAATCCTTCTCTCCCCTTTCACCATCTCTCTTACCACAGAAAGCGAGAAGGTGAAAGGGGAGAGAGAGAGGCCTCCAAAGCAGGTCTTCTTGCCCCACCTATCTGGAGAGGGAAATCTCTCAGGCATTTCCTTGCCACAAAGAGGCACTGCTGAGTTTGGGCAGAGAGCACCTGGAGTTATTTTCTGGTTTCCCTTTATCACAAAGATCCTGTGCCCCTAACCTCCTCAAATGTGAAGGGAATACTACATGTGATCTGATTTAAACACAAATTTGACTTCCATTGTCTAAGGAACAGAACTCATTCATAATTCGGGGACTACCTATATCAATACCTAGGTATGAACATCTGCATGAACATCAAGCCATGAACATCTGCAAATATAACGGAATATTCTTTAGAAAAAAATTCAGTAAATCACATTCCATTCATAGAAAAATCAGTAATGATAAGTGACAAAATGTAAGAATGTATCAACAATAATTTATACTTACTGGTGGGAAGTCAAAATCTATCTGGCTTGCTAAGTTTAGTATATAATCGATTCGAAACTGATTATCTGGATTGGCTAGCTCAACTGGAGGTGCCAGGTTTCCCATTGCTGTCACTATTGTCTATAGAAAAGAGATTTGAGACATTTTATCAGATGGGGATGAGATAAAAGCTTAGTTCAAATTATTCATGAAAGGATTGCAGACTTACCTCTATAGCTTCTTTAATATTGTTTTTAATATCCTGAATTTTCATTTTTTTCTCCCTGTAATCAAGAAAATAACAAATTAAATTTCTAGAATGAAGAGGCATTTTTGAAGATATAAAGATAAAAATATCAAGAGAAATAATCTTCAAGAAATCACCTAGTTAACCCATAAATATATGTGCAGCCCAGCAAGCTCAGCTAACTTAAATGGGAGGGGACAAAGAGAAAAAGGAAATTAATTGTGATTTCTAATTCATGTTGCCATTATTATTATTATTATTATTATTATTATTATTATTATTATTATAACATTTCTATGCCGCCCCTTGCCGAAGCCTCGGGGCGGCTTACAACACAATAAGATACATTGAAATACAATAGAACATATTATCCTAATAAATACACAGAAGTTTAACAAAATTACTTAAGTCTTATATGGACAAATCACTATTTTGGTTAATAGAAACTTGAGTAACAGTATGTTTCCAACTGCACTTCTGGTCATCCAACTAATAGAATCACACACTATGGAAAATGTCTGAATACTTTCAGTTTCAGTTTTGGAAAATGAAGTAAGAAAATAATCCATCTCTTTCTGATTCCCCCAAACACCACCATTAGGCAGTGTTTGAGGCAGAGTAAGTTATTACTGCTTCTGAATTACGCAGATTGAAAGCTCAAATTTAAAAAACAAAAGACAAACTAGGGTGCAGAGATCCTTTTTAATTTATTTGTTGAAATCACTGAGCTGTACCAGAACACAATCATTATTTTTTTTTCATTCTAGAAAGCTGCCTATGACTGACAATCTACATGCTCAAGAACAAATGAAAATGTGTTATGTTCCAAATACTACTTCCAGGGTTGCTTGCTTTGAAGGGGGTTGCAATGCTTCTTTTCAATTGTCAAAAAGTGAAACCGCAAGTAAATTCCAAATGCATGCAACAGGACACCAGCTGAAAAAAGCTGTCTCATGCACTGTTTGTCCTTGTATTCTGACATTTATCTCTACTAAATTACTATATTTATCTTTGAAGCAGATTTTAGAGGAGCTAATAGAACTTTTATCTTAACTTGTGCACACGTTAAATCTTAGGTTTGAGTTTTGTCCACTGAGTTTGTAGGTTAAAACTCAGAATAATGGTGAAATCCTTCATGAGTCTAGAGTATGTTCACGGAAAAAAAGTACAATCCAGCATCTTACACTCCGAACCCAGAAATTTTAAACTTGCATTGTCATAAAAACGGATTACATGACACAATATATTTTACTGAACAATTTTTTCCAATACAACACACTTTTGCTCTGAAAGTTATGTGATCAGCCCAAGATTGTGCCTGGTCATTGTGAGGATAAACTGAAGAGAAGGACCATGTGAGCCATGTTGGACTCCTTGCAAGAAAAAAAAAAAATGTCAGGATATAAATATAACCAACCAACTACAAAATACTTTCCAGGTGATTAGCTCTAGCAAGTATGTAAGTGAATATGTGGATCTCACTGAAATACTCATATGTCTCAGAAAACTAATAAATACTCAGTGTGAAAATGAAGGTGTCCCGAAAACGAAATAGGTGAGTGGTGATTAGCATATAATGCAGTTTTTTGGGTTGCTAAAATTTGTTGGTGCATCAATATTATTGATCACCTTTGGTTTTTTTCTTAAATCTAAGGAAAGTACATGCCATAGGCATAGGACTGGTGTTGCCACTCTGCAGTTGGAGGTGCTACATTTTTTCCAGCAGAAGAAAAGTAAACCGATCATGTAACATATATCAGCTTTCTTTGGGTATATATCCTAAAACTACTGTTTAAGTATATAAACAAGCATCAGTAAGCAGTATACACCATTGTCTTAAGCTTTTTCAAATACTCCTGTAAAATGATTTCTAAATAAAGCTTTGAATATGCTTCAATGTAACATTTAAGCTATACTGGCAGTTTATTTCCCCCCCTAAGCAAATGTTTCAGTTCAAATATTTTTTAGCTACTGAGAGAATTTTTGATATATTTATGAGATTTTTTTTGTGTGCCTTTTGAGAATGTAGTTTGGGGAGTAAAAATGAGCCAAACATTGTAAATCAGATACAATAATACAGTAACAATACATCAGCAACATGCACTGCAGAGAGAGAATCTATATGTATGTGTGTGGGTGTACAGTACTGTAAAAAACAAACAAACAAAACAGTTCCTAAAACAGTTTAGAACATTCTTAACATTAACATTAACCGATGATGATGATGGAGATGGACCTGGTGCTAGAGAATCGGGATTTGACTGTGCTGCTGGAGTGCAGGGGAGTCACTTTCTTGATCTCCAGTAGGCTTCAAGGGATGTTTCTACAGCCATTTTCTTTTTCTCATTGTAAGTGGCCATTGTAGCAGCTGAGAGCTTGGTTACAAGGCCAAATGCAGAAGAAAAAACAAAGGGGAACTACACATGCCCAGAAATATACTGGCTTGGGTATGCTCAAGCCAACACTGCAAAACAAAAAGCCATGAATACGTTATAGCTAGGGAACTATGCTGCTACTGATGACATACCACTAAATGTGTCACATTGTTTCCTAGAGATACGTTATGTAGTACCTTAGAGATAACCTTGCCAATTTATGGCAAACCTTTCTCTAACAAAAAGCCATGACTATCTCTAGGAACTACACAGCCACAGATGATGCATCACCAAATCTATTGTGCAGTTCCCTGGTGATATTCATAGTTTTTTGGTAGAGATATTCATATATCGGCTATTTGCTTTCCTATTACATAGGCTGGCCCTAGTCACGTTAGAGAAAGAGACACATTGGTGCCTCGCTAAATGTTCATCAGTAAATGGTATGTATAATCAAGAATTTTGATAATAGAAAAATACCTAATTCTTGCAATCTTACAGAGAGAACTAAAAAATTAATTGGGTCCCATGGCTTCATTATTTCCAGAAATGTTACTTCTCTAGTATTTCTCTTAAAAGCTTTGTTACAGGCTTTTAAGAAGTCATCTGGGGGAATAAAAGCTGAGTAGCAATATATATATAGCTTTAAGAATGCTGTTTTTTTTTCTAAATATCTCCATTTTTTCCCTTTCACCTCTCTGCTTATACACCTGCAGATCACAGGGTAACATCCTCACTATGATGAACAGTGTGAACTCTCGAGGGACACACCAGGTAGACTATAGGGACTGTAATGGAATTCAGAGTACTCCTCAAGATACAAATGGTTCAAATCAAGGTATGCATGTTATTAAAACCTAACCAATATAGGAAGGCAGTACAGGTGGTTGAGTAGAGTGTCATGCATGCCTAGTTGTCACCTGCTTCATTAGAAGAAGTCATGTGTCCAGGGGTAAGTAAATCCAGTAATTTCTTACTGAATATATATGTACTGGTAAATCATGGCTTCTTTACCAAGTGTGTAAAGATGTGTGTATGAGTGTATATATGCCCATACCCTTACACACTTTTCCATATATGCATAGCATGCGCTGCCACTATTGTTACAGCTTTTAGAAGAATTCCTTGATTTATTTTAAAGTGGTACAAAATTCCTGCAACTGACAAACACCCAGGTAGTCATCACTATCTAGAGAAACACTCAAGTCTCTGTTTTTGTTACCGTAGTCCTATTTATGTTCAGTGTAAAAAAGGTCTTATTACATATAATTTCCATTTGTTTTGTAGTGTTTACAAAATGTATATTTTTCCATGACAATTGTTTTTCTTACATGGTGAGATCTTAAGAGTTCAACTAATATGTTATTTTCAAGTGCAATTTACTAACAGTTCAAGGACATATAAAATACAATAAATGCTCTGCTTTATAGAAATCCAAAGCATTAAAGGCATTTTATCCCGTTGACTTCAACAAAATGCAACAAGGAAATATCTAAAGTTATTACGGCTCAAAAGATTGCCAGTTAATTTAAAACATTTTATCTTAATGCTTCTTTCCTAAGTCAGAAGGACAAATAAAGATTTTTTTCCCACAAACCTACACATCTCAGCATTCCCTACTGCATTATTTCATATGAAATAGTTTTAAGGGGGTATAGTAGACATACACATTTTATTCTTTTATCCTTATCCCAAAATTTCTTGCTATTATACATATGTTCTTTTAATTAAAATTGTGAACCCATATTAATGTCTGTGTGTATAAGGCTAACTATAAGGCATGCATCAACTAAATCAATCTTCAGAATAAATTATTAAACACCAGTTGTGGCTGTGATATTTACCACAACAGTGAACTGCCTCATACTTGTTTTAGAAAAGCAAAGTCTATCTGTTTCATCAGTCTATCAGGAAGGTCACCAGAGCCCAACAGAGAGGTAAAAAGAACAAGCTTTAGTTCCAAAAGGCTTTTCAAAGGAACTTAAGCTGTGCCAAGGATCATGACCTTAAAGCTTCCTTGATACTCAAGAGCTGAAATCAAGATAAATGCATGTTTGCATTAGGAATTTTTTTCTCATGAACATTAACACCTACGGTACTTGGATCTGAATAATTTTGCATATAATCACAGGATTGGATATTGTATCCTTGAGTTTACACCATATACTTCTTAACACCCAAATACAATTACAAGCAGATGAATCCCTACTGTGTCTGTAAGGAAATAAACTAGGAGCCAAGATGCACTCAGATCGTATTAACTGTCACACTGGAAAAGCGCCATACTTAAATGGCTGTCCCACAATTGACCACAGCCCCATTTAAAACATACAGCCCTCTAAGATGCTATGACTATGGGGTTCATCACCAGAAATCCATGGGGAACATTCAGTGTGCTTCCTTTTTCCATAACCTGTTGAAATACCTTTAATTCCAAAAATTTCCAAACATCTTAGAAAATCTGGAGAGCAATTCTACGGCCCCTAGACATTGCCTGAAGGGCTGTAGGATATGGTGGCTTTCTCTTCTTTAGGCACCCCTGTGCAGTTTCTCTGTAATATGAATGATGAAATCAAGTAATAACTTGATTGCCATTAGAGAAAAGTTCAATTTTATGTGCCTATAATCAAGTATATTTAGTGCAAATATGAGGGCAAAGAAA